ATGAGAGACGCTGACAGCCCGATGATCTATCTTGAATGTGTCTTCCCTGCGCCCAACCTTAAACAGAGGGTCAAAGCCTTCTCTTTTGCCTCTTTTTGACCTATGGGAGTGGCAAGAGCTGCTGCAGACAGGTGAGTGAGGTAAGTAAACAAACAGGGCTGCATCCGTCGGCTGTTCCAGGCCTCCGCCCTTGACTGAGAGCCAGTCCCTCTCCCCTCAGGAAGAGGGTCCAGGCGCGACAGGTGGAGTGAGCCTGCGCAACTCCCCACCCGTGCGAGAAGCCAGCGCTCCAGCCACGGCTGCAGGAGCCTCCTCGGAATCCTCGCCTCCAGCCGCTCCTCCACGCTGCGAATGAGGTGGCTAGAACAATAAATGCCCTGTCCTCAAAATAGGGCCAGGAGTGGGACACAAACAGTTCCCAGTCAGGGAGAGCGGGCACCAAGGAACCCCCCTACTCGTCGGAGCCCGCAGAGTCTGGGGGCCCTCTGCATGCCACGAGGAGAAGGGTGAGGGGGCACGTCAGAGCAGCCACACTTCAAGAATAACGACAAAATTAAAGGAAGAAAGAAAAAGAATTAAGAAAGCAATAGCATTCAAAACGCAACTGCAAATCCCAGGCTGAAAGAAAATACAACTCAAACAGAAGAAAATGTCTTACAAATGTTTCACACTTTCTTAACCAAAATGTGAATTCAATAAAAAAAGTTCAAAGAGGAAATGATAAAAACAGATTAACAGGCACATGCTATGCTCGGAAAATAAACTGATAGCCCAAACAAATAGAAGTAATAAATTAGAAATAGCAAGGTACAGAACAGATACATCTGAAAATCAAATTACTCACATCAAGGAAAGGCTGAAGTGAATGCAGATGAAAGACTAAGGCATTAAACAATAGAGAGATGCTAATAAATGGGAAAGACCTGTGAAATAAACAGCTGTGTCTGTGAAGCAGAAAATCCAACAAATGGAGCAGAAGTACTCAAAAATACACCACCAAAAAGATCTCCCTGAAATGAAAGAATCCACAAACTAAAAAGGAAACTGAATTACAGGGAAATCTGACAGAGGACAATAGACACTGAGATGAGACACATCCCGATTAAGTTGTTATGATTCAAGACCAAAGAAGGAATTCTGCAGGCATTCGAGCAAAAGGAAGTCATTTTCAGGAGAGCCAACGTAAAGCTGTCCTAGCCCTTCCCGATGGTGTCATCAGACGCCAGAAGGATGTCTACAAAGGAGGAAAGGAAGTGCGTCCCAAGAAGTTTAAGCCCGGCCAAGCTGTCCTTAAACTAAAGAAAATGCAGTAAGTAGACATTCTATTCTCAAGCACTTATGACCCTTCTTGAAAAAATCTCTTGACCATGAAATCCAGCCACCCAAGAACTCAGGAGTGGAGAAGCTAGCATACGAGGACTGCTGATGAATATACTAAACTCCACTAAAATATAGCAATTGTGGCCACAAAACAGAATGGAAAGGTTGCAAACCTGACAAGGTAAAAATAATAGATAGCTAATGAAAATTGTAAGATGGGACACAGGAGAGGAGGAAGAAAGGGTAACTGTGTTAATTTCCTTTTCTTCTTGCAATTTTTCAATCAATCCAGTCTAAAACTTAAGTGTAGTAAAAAATACATGACAAATCCAATCTTTTCTGTTTCCAAAATCACTTTTTTAACTCCAGAGGGATCTCTTACAGATTAATATCTCTTATAATGAATAAACATTTTCTTGGGGCCAGCCCAGTGGCACATTGGTAAAGTTCGCACGTTCCGCTTCTGCAGCCCAGGGTTCACTGGTTCAGATCCCTGGTGTGGACCTACGCACTGCTTGTCAAGTCATGTTGTGGCAGCATCCCACATATAAAGTAGAGGAAGATTGGCACGGATGTTAGCTCAGGGCCAGTCTTCCTCAGTAAAAAGAGGAAGATTGGTGGCAGATGTTAGCTCAGGGCTAATCTTCCTCAAAAAAAAAGAAACATTTTCTTAAAGTTCAGAAATTTCTTCTCTTATATTTCAGATTCGCTTCTATAAATTTAAGATAAAATTTAATTCTTCAATTAAAAAGAGTGACTAGTATATCTCTTGTTGGATTAAACTATTCCTACCTACAGAGTTATTCTTCTATCTGTATATATACAAAGAAAGGTGCCTAGAATGGTGTTGTTAATGTTAAAAATGGTGAATTTGGGGAGGCAGGGCCAGGAGTGAATTTTTCAGTATTTCTTGTTGTGTATAAAATGTGTTTAAACATTTTATAATAGCCATGTATCACTTTTACAAACTAAAAAGTCATGTTTAGATTATAAAAGCCAAAAAAAAATCGTTCATTGAATTTTTCACCAAAATGTAAAACACATGGTAACTATATAAAAATTCACAAGACAGAATCCAAAAGGAGGAAGTAAAAGTGACTCGGCGCCATCTTCAGCGCCACGACGTTAACAGTTTCCAATCTGGGGATCTGAGGGACTTCAGAAAGACAGCACCAGATATTCAATAAACAGCCCCTCATGTTGTCTCCCAGTGCTTTTATGGTCATATTAATTACATTTAAAGGTTTCATTGACCACAGTTTACTTTGGGCTTTGGTGTGAAGTAAGAATTAATTTTTTCTGCTATGTTTCCTTAGACGTCCTAAAGCCACACGCTGAACAATCCACTCTGTGCGGGCTGATGTGAGATGCCACCTGCACCAAGATCTGACACAGAATTAAATACTCTCAGGCTTGAGTACCCTCTCTCATCCCATTTCTTCAGAGACCTCAGCACACTCAGAAACCCCAGGGCTACAGAGCCAACTCGGCCCCAGCCTTCTGCTCCACGTCCTCTGTCCTGGAAGCCTTGCTGTGTCCCAGTGTGCCTTGTCTGGAGTTCTGCTGCAGCTTCTAGCTCTGTCTGAGTAGATTCCTCTCTCCCAAGGGCAGGAACTGCATCTCGAACTCGGCTGCTTATCCCGACATCTGGCTGAGTGTCTGGCACACGCATGCCCTCCAGATATCCCACCCAAGAAGCAAGTCTTCCCTGCGCCCTCTCCTGCCAGCGTGCAGCAGTGGCCTCTGAACACTGAGAGTCAGGAGAAACGGCCCCGGGATTGTTTGTTTTTAAAACATTAACTAGAATTACATTTCATTTCACCATCTCAATTTTGAAGACTCCTAAGCTACTAATTTTACTTTTGCCAACAATATTTCCCTTCTAGTTTTATTCCTATTGTTAATTACTTGCAATCCTTATGATACTAAGGCAACGGCTGGTCAGACATGAGAAGCCTGCCTTTCCAGGCCGCAGAGTCCTACGCAGAAGACTTGACCCTTCGCTGAGCAGCCAGTCCTTGAGTGCCAGCACTACCTCAGCAAGCCCAGCAGGCTCAGGGACTGGCCTGTGTGCTGAAGCAGATCTGAGACCTTCACCTGGCAAACTCTAGGCAGCTTCCTAGCCAAAGGAAGCTTCTATAAGCTAGTCCTAGAAATGAGCATACCAGCCGCCGGGGAAAATGATTTGACTAGATGCCTGGTGCCAACCAGAGGCTCAGTCCTTCTCAGGGTGCAGTGCTTAATAAACCAGCAGCACTCTGCCCTGCCCAAGAGAAGACAGAGAGAGGACACAGAAACACCGGGGGAAGGCTGGAAGAAGCCAAAGCCACACGGACACTTCCGTACTGGAGCCAGAGCGATGCTGTGCCCAAAGGGGTACTCAACAACCTGGAACAGCTGGGAAGACCAGCATCCCTACTTGGCACGAGACCACAACCAAAGGCACCTCCTGAACCTGGAGAAGATAAGCCGAAGGAGCTGTGGTCACTTTCTTCAAATACGGGAAAGGCCGTGACGTTTAGGAAGAAATGCATTTTTTCAGTCCTTCTTCAGAGTCTAGAACCAGACCTACTGGGTAGAAATTACAGGGAGGCAGACTTCAGCTCCAAATAATTGTAAGCTTTCCACCCAGAGCTGTCAAAAAAAGCAGCAGCCTGCCTCGTGGAGGAGGCAGTCAGTACCCAGGTCCACACACACTGCGTAGAGAACCGGAGGTCAGGAATGCTATTGAGGGGAGAGTCAGACCAGACAACCTCCCAGGGTCTCTTCTGAGAGTACTGGATGCTGACCTTAACATTTCATTAGAAAAGGGTTACTCTTCAAAGGTAAAAATTAAAAAAAGAGTGCATTCCTTATCCAGAATTGAGAAGTATCAACCACACCCTTATACTGACCATTAGTGGCTTTTAATAATGTAAATTTAATGATAAAAGGTTAAAATAAGTTTGGTCTTCTAAGATTTATAATGAGACGCCTACGGCTTCCTATCTTTAAGCTGGCTAAGTTAGCTGATTCCCCTCAACCAACATGTGGATGCAGCCAGAACCGTTTATAAGGTCCCGCACTGCACAATGCAGCGCTTAAAGAGGCGATGTAAAGACTACATCACCACATCTGAAAATGAAACCCCACTTGGTCTTCTCGAGGAGCTACAAAAACGAGTGCTTGGAAACTTCTGGACATAATTCTAAATTTCATCTCTGAGGAGACGTAAGTTAGAATAAAAATGGCTTCTGCTTCAGTGCATCCCACTGCTGGCGCAGGGCAGCGAATGAAGCCAGCCCGCAGCCGAGCAAGGCTGCGGGCCTCGGACGCTGGCCTGGAGAGTCTGGACCGGGGCCCACCCCCCTGCGGAAACAGCACGGCCCCTGCTGGCCCCAGACCTGAGCCCAGGCCCAGGTTAGAGCCGAGCACAACAGGCATTACGCCATCTTTGCAGCTCCTGATGTGACAGTCCTTCCTATGTTCACTTCTCACAGGAAATCTGCTTATCTGGCAGTTTTCTAATTACTTCAGGGAAAGGCAAACACCGATAAACGTTGTATGAAGAAAACAGAGCTGAACGAGAAGAGAAAGGGGCCTTTGTACTTGGCAGGAGAAATGAGGGGGATGACGGGCCAGGACAGCAGCACTTCCCACACGTCACACTCAGGATGCCTTCCACGTACAAACGCACCAACCTGAAATTCTGCATGAACTGCCGGAACTTGTCCACCCTCTGTGCCAGCGGCACGATAATGTTGATAAGTGTGTTGGCCATGCTGAGTTTTTCTTTTTTTACTTTCATGATAGGGCCAAATGGTCGAAACAAGACAAGTCGTCTGAATTCATGCTTGTGATCCCCTTTGAACGTGAGCTCATATAAAGTGCCTTTATCTCTTTCTGTGCGGTAGATCCCTGTTAACAGAAACACAAGGAAAGACAGTTTTAAATATTAACCCTTGCTGCTGAGTGTGTTTTTATAGGCAAGATCTGGCACAAAAAGCCTTTTTTTAAAAAAAAAAATAAGATATAATTATTAGAAAACTCAACATGCTCCCACTTAAAAAATCCCAAAAGAAATCAAAATATCATCAAATTTAAAAACCACAGTTATGAAGACATCATAAAAACATGGGAAAATGTTTGTAATGTTGGATACAAAACTCTATTCTACTATTTAGAGCCATTAAAGAAAGGACTATTAACGAAATATGCCAAAGTAAGACTGGCTGTGATGTGGAGTGGGGTTATGAGTTTTTCCGTTTCTGCTATTTTCCACATGCTCTGCAATATGACTAAATAAGTATTTTAATTATTATATTTATTTAATTTTAAAAGTGTTGAAATTATCTCTTAGAAATTATAGCCATCTCAGATGGACTGACCATACTGATCTATTGGGGGTACCTGAGAGCAGCTCAGGGCCAGTCACACGGGTCATGTGGCCCTCTGGAAGCTTCTGGAAGCATTACGGCAGACAATGCATAAAGTATACCCAGCACAGTGGCAGGCACACCTCTTTCACATCATCCTTCCCACCTCTGAGAAGCAGTGCAGCTCAGTGCTCCAGAGCTAGACTTGTTGGGCAGTCTATTTACGGACCCCCCAAACTGTGCTCTACCCCACGTCACTGTTACTGAAACCCCACACAGCCTCGCTAGTCAGGTCGATGATGTGACCAGCATCTCAGCTCAGCTCTTAGGATGAGCCTGCCACGGGCCTGATCCCACAGGACTGCCCTATCTGAGGAGCAAACGATTCCCAGATGCCTAAGTCCCCCTGCTTCCCAGCATCACTGATACTGTGGGTGTTTTTTCTACAGTCTGAAAGAAACTGTAAAATTCAACCAATCACCAGATACACTTCCTCGTCTTTTATCTGTGATTTGCCACGTTTTCTGTTCCATGTCTCTTCCTTCCTCTTAATCCCCACATTAGCTAGAATGTGCCTCCCAGCCTTTGACCAGCTACAAAAGGAAGCGTCCGGGGAAAATGTCTGCCTGCGGTCAGTCACAGTCCTGGAGGCCTCTCACAAACCACTTCTCTTTTCTTCCTCACTCTCCACTTCTTTCCTTTTGCGAGACCTACAGGTCTTCCTCACAAACACTGCCAAGTTCTCTTCTCTGTTCCTGGCCTTATGGGACCTTTTCATCCTATAGCCCTGGTCTTACAGCCTCTTTGATCCTGTTCGAAGTTTAGATCTCCTCCAGGTGCCACACCGAGGAGTCCAGGACTGTGAATTTTCAAGGTCGTCTCATTCCTCACAGCTGTCCCACGGGCCTGCGTGGAAATTCCAGATGTGTAATCTGCTGTCAGTGAGCACAGGTGATTTACGGCCCTGGGCACAGAGTTACAAGGACCAAGTTATCTTCTGAAGCCTCCATCGATTCCTTGGGTAACAGGGCATGCTGCTCAACAGCGCTCAACGTCAGGCCAGCTGAGGGAAGTTTTCCTGAGCTCATGTTGGAACAGAATCAGCGTCCTTGCAGGGGCCATTCATGGAACAAAGAAGGTCCATTTCTTAGGAAGCTCAAAGGACTTCTGTGAAAATGTGAAGTGGTTCCCTTCAAAATCTGTTCATTCTTTCAGGCAGCTGGTACTCACTGAGGAAACAGACCTTGCCCTCCCCGGATGCTGTCTACAGCAGGTGGGGAAAGCACCGACTCCCAGGGTCCAAATAGGGGTGGGCGGAGTCAGAACGGGATCGCATTTGGTAAGCAGCATATCTGCACAGCTGAAGGAGGCCACCAGGGCCAGTGGCCGCGGCGCCACGCTCCTGTTATTTGGTGTTGGCAAGCACACCTCACACAGCGATAAATGTGGAAAAGGCTGCTGGCAGTGTAACGTGCAAATAAAACTGGACGTGGGGTGGAGACTGTTTTTTAACTGAGTCATTTTCTTTCTCAACACCAGGATAAGAATTACTAACTTTTTAAAATCTAAATCCACAGATTTGAAAATATAGGTAGAAATACATACAACCCCATCTCAAGAAATGGACATCTATTTATAAAGAACCCAGAGAGTGTAAGAATTCTTAGTGACGATGATTCCTATAGCCATGTGAGAATGACCGCCTTGTGCAGCCCGTGTCATGGGCGGGTGGGACAGGCAGCCCCTCTGTTGGTGGTTTCCAGGCGTGGCACGCCTTACATCAGGAAGGCCAGACATCCAGGCTAATCGTCATACCACAGTTTCAGCTGCTTTCTCATTGTCTCCCACATCCTGTGCCTTGAAACAGTTATTACATCAACTCGATAGCATACTTCCCCATTCTCTGCCTGATTAAACTGTCTTATACATCTGCTTTTAGATCCCTTAATTTATCTATTTTGAATAAGTTATTTAAAACTCCCTTGCAACCTGTGTCCACTAAAACCCACACCCAGCCATCTGCCCACCACACCCACAGGCAGAACCTCCCACACTGCGCCGACAGAGCGCTCTCAGTCTTTTTGTAACACAGAGGCCACCCCCAAGGATCCTTGTGCCTCCCGGAAATCTTCAGTGGTGAAAGCACAAGGGGACTGAGAGAAAGGGGGGCAGGAGTATTTGGAGACAGGAGTGGGTTTTCGGCCAATAAGCTGGCATGCACAATGGCACATGCAAAGCAAATCAGCCACACAAAGGCCTTCCCCATAATATTTACAGGATAGTATCATTTGATGCACCATGCAAATTAAAGATCAAAATAAAAACTTGGGAACTAGTTTAGATTTTGGTTTAGACACCCTAACTGGCACCTCCTTTCCCCTTCTGTCTCTCTATAGGTGCTAAGCTTACTTTGAGTTTGGTGTTTCTGGGCCCTATGCAAGCATCCTAATGCTCATCTTATCCTACTCAAGGGGGCCAGGCCCTAGGACAACCAAACAGGTGGGGACACCTCCAGGTGTCCAAGATACAGCTCCACGGTCTGCTGCAAATGTCTATTCCTTCATAGGCAAGGAGCTAACCACATGCAAGGCCCCTGTCTACATGCTGTCTTCCACTTAGGACTTTAGAAATCATGATGCTGAAGGTCAAGGAGGTACCACTCACTCCTTACCCTCACATCCTCACCCTCCCTCAATATGAGTGTATGCAGGCTGTGGCCACTGCTGCACTGCTGAGCCCAGAAGTGACTACTCCACTTTGATCCCTGCCTTTCTACCTTCCCAAATGAACCCTAGGTCTCCCAGCTGGAGAACTGCAATCGTAAGCCGACCCAATCCACCCGGCACCTATCCTCTGGCCCTTAGCCCTCCTCCAGTACCACTCTCATCCTGGTTTTCCCCTGGCTCAGAAGTGCTCACCAGCTTCCCACAGCCTACAAAATAAAGTACCAACCCCATGGCCAGGCCTTACAGACCCTCCACAACCTGGCCTTAGTCTACTGTCCTAAGTGTAGGTCTCGCCCCTGCCTCACAGGAAATCTGGCTGCAGTCAAGCTGGTTTGTATTGAGCATACAACTACTCTCCCCCTGGAGAGACTGGGATGCTCCTGCAGTGCTGGTGGGAAGTGAAATGGGGCAACCACTGTGGAAAACAGTGTGGCAGTTCCTCAAAAAGTCAAACATAGAATTATCATATGATCCAGCAATTCCTCTATTGGGTATATACCCGAAAGAACTGAAAACAGAGTCTTGAACAGGTACTTGTAGACACATGTTCATAGCAGCATCATTAACAATAGCCAAAAGGCGGAATCAACCCAAACCTCCATCAACAGATGAATGGATAAACAAAATGGGGTCTATATATATTATGGAACAGAACTCAGCCTTACAAAGGAATTGAGTTCTGATACACGCTGCAACATGGATTAACCTTGAAAACGTGTGCCAAGTCAAATAAGCCAGACACAACAGGACAAATATTATATGATTCCACTTACATGAGGTACTTAGAGTAGTCCAATTCATAGAGACAGAAAGTAGAAAGGTGGAGGCCAGGGGCTGGGGGAGGGGGAATGGGGAGTTAGAGTTTAATGGGTACAGAGTTTCTGCTTGACATTGTGAAAAAGTTCTAGAAATGGGTAGTGGTGATGGTTACACAACAATGTGAATATACGTAATGCCTCTGAACAGTACACTTAAAAATGGTTAAAATGGTGTGTATGTACATTTTACCACGACACTACTCTCCTCTGAAAAGGCCTTGCACTTCCCAAGACACACTTCTCACTAGTCTACTTTTCTCTCTTTCACCCTCCTAAACCTGAGCCTCCTCCTCCAGGAAGATCCCCTTGACGTTCTCAGTCCAGAGTGACCATTCAGTCCTCCAGACACTTGGTCTTAGGGCTTTTCAACTCTTCTTTGCTAAACTACTTTTGCGGCACTCGAGAACATGAAAGGACCTTGGAGACCATCAAGTCCAGCCTTCGCTCTTCCAGATGAGCAAGCTGAGACCCAGCGAGGCTGTGATTTGTCTGCGATCACCAAACGTGTTAATGACTCACTGGAACACACCCCCGTGAGGGGTTCCCTCCCTAGAGGTCACTGTTCAGAGGCAACACTAACAGCGCAGCACAGAGAAGACGCAGGCACGTGAAGAGCAGCTTCTGAGAAGTCAGAGTAAACAACACAGAGTCTGTGGTCAAAACCGCCGGGCTTACTCACTCACCCACAGATAATCCTCGCATCCACCTTAGAGTTTTTATTTTCCTTTAACACACGATTGTAACAGCTGTTCACCATTATCTGAATTCACAGTCTACAACACATGGAAAGCAGTAAATTTTGAAAGGGAGGAGTTTCACGAAAAAAAATATTTCCAACAAGGAAAAGAGGAGTTTATGGGAAAAGAAAATCTGTAACAGGCAGAAATGCTGACAGTAGTAAAGAGTGACAAGTCACCTCCTGACAGCAGTGGAAGAGGCAGCACAGTGTTATTTTTAAAATTTAAATGCCTGAGATGTGCACATTTAAACACGCTTTT